GGCAGGCGGATCTCTATGAACTCAAGGCCAGCCTGGTCTAACAGAGCAAGTTCCAGGACAGGCTCCAAAACAATACAGAGAAACCCTGTCTCGAAAAAAAACAAAAAACAAAAACAAAAAGCCAGGCAGAGGTGGTGCACGCCTTTAATCCCAGCACTCGGGAGGCAGATCTCTCAGTTCCAGGCTAGCCTAGTCTTTGGAGGGGAGTTCCAGGACAGCCAGCGCTACACAGAGAAACCCTGTCTGGACCAATAATAATAATGACATTATTATTTTTTTTTTTGGTTTTTACGAGACAGGGGTTCTCTGTATCGTTTTGGAGGCTATCGGTCCAGCCCGGCCTCGAACTCACAGAGATCCGCCTGCCTCTGCCTCCCGAGTGCTGGGATTAAAGGCGTGCGCCACCACCGCCCGGCAATAATGATATTATTATTGATAATAATATAGATGAATCTTACAAACATTAGCTTGAGCGAAAGAATCTAGGTGAAAAGAGATGTCATGATATAAAGTACAGATAAGAGACACCATGAAGTGGTTAGTCAGTGTTGTGCTGTCTTTGGACAAAGAGGGAAGAGGAGGAGGTAGAGGACATATTTGGAGTGTTGGTCATATTGTCTTAATGTATGCATTAAATTAGAGAATTTTTATGAAGTTACTTACCTGTTACTCATGTAAACACTTAAAATTACTGTTTCTAAAGAATCTTAAAAGACAAAACTGGAGAGATGGCTCACCAGTTATGAGACTTTGCTGCTTTTCCAGAGGACTGGGTTCAATTCCCAGCATCCACATGGTGGCTCAAAACCATCCCTGGCTCCCATTCTAGGGAATTTGATGCAATCTTCTGACCTTTGAAGGAACCAAATATGCAGACATCACAGACATACATGTAGACCAAACACACATACACTTAAAATAGAATGGTCTGAAAAGGTTTTTAAAGAATCTTTGTATAAATAACTAAAAGTTATAGAGGAATTTACCAAGATGACTGAAAGTAAATATACAACCAATTACAGTTCTAAATACAAGCAAAAAAACTACAATTAATAATGTAAAGGGCACCATTTGAGATGAAGTATTAATTATAAAGAGTTAACAAAACGTGGAATGGATGAAGCAATGACATCCTGGCCAGTGGAACAGAACAGAAAGCCAGACCGCAGATCAATAGATATAGGTAACTTGTTAGATTGGCTGCCGTAAACATCAGTCATTGAAGTTGGAGATAGTTACACGTGTCTTAGGGTTTCTATTGCTGTGAAGAGACACCAAGACCACGGCAACTCCTATAAAGAAAACATTTAATTGGGATGCCTTACATTTTCGGAGGTTTGGTCCATTATCATCACGCGTCACGGTGGCATGCAAGCAGACATGGGGCTGGAGAAGTAGCTGAGCATCCTGCATCTTGGCTTGCATCCAACAGAGAGTGGTCTGTTTCACTGGGCGTGACTTGAGCATATGTAAGACCTCAAAGCCCCCCTCCACAGAGACACATTTCCTCCAATGAGACCACATCTACTCCAACAAAACCACACCTCCTAATAGTGCCTTCAAACCACCACAGGTGGAAAAAATTATATCCTTAATCACTCTGTGTGGAGAGAACTCTAAATGAATCCATGAATAGGCTTTATTTTACTTCAAAACAATGTCTCAGGCTGGCCTCAAATTCATATTCCTCCTGCCTTAGCCTCCCAAATGCTGTAATTGTAGACATGTGGTTCCATACTTGGTTTCCATGAGGCATTATATTATTGAGTATACAGGTGAAGTACATGTTTATTGCTACACTATGAACAACAGTCAAGACATGAAAACATCTAAACTCCTCTCAACGGATGAATGGATAAAGAAAATGTGATTGATACACACACACACACACACACACACTTCATTCAGCTGTAACGAATAATAAAGCTACAGTATTTGCAGGGAAATAAATGGAACTGGAGATTATATTAAGCAACATAAGCCAGACTCGGAAAGACAGATACCATGTTCTCTCTCATATGTGGAATATTATACTAAGAAAGCAGACAGGAGCTAAAAGTTGGGATGGGCAAGAAAAGTTTCTAAGGGGAAAAGAAAATATTGCATGTTTCCCTTCATATGCAGAATCTAGATGTAGATGTGTGTCTACATACACCTGTCGTGAAAGCATAAGTGAGTAGGAAGGGGGCCACCAAGAGGTGGGGGAGGGCAGAGGGGGTGGTGGCACACACCTTTAACCCCAGCACTTGGGAGACAGACAGGCAGATCTCCGAGCTTGAGGCCAGCCTGGTCTACAGAGTGAGCTCTAGAGCAGCCAAAATTGTTACACAGAGAAACCCTGTCTTGGAAAAAAGCCAAAGCCAAAAAGAACAGCAACAACCAAGAGAGGTGGGAGAGGAAGGAGGAGGGTGTTATTCTGTATGCTAACCAAATTAATTAAAAAAGAAGTATAAACAAAATTATCCAGAGATACAACAGTCAATCAGTATTTCTAAATCGTGAGAATTGGAGTGGGTTAAAGTAACTTTCCATATACTAATTAAACTGATGTCAAACCAAAAAAAAAGAAAAAAAATGAAGAGACAGTGATGAAGGTGTAGGTGACTTTTTTTTTTTTTTCTTTGAGACAAGAGTTTCTCTGTGTAGCCCTAGTTTTCCTGGAACTCTCTCTCTACACCAGGCTGGCCTCTGCTTCCTGAATACTGTGATCAAAGGTGTGTGACACCAACGTGGGCCCAGCATATTTTAAAGAGGTTATGGAATTTTTTTAAAGAAAGACACAAACTGCACAAATTCAAAGGATGTTGAATTTGATCCCATTAAAATGAACTTTTATCAAAAACCCTTAAAATTACATTAAAATTGTTAATAATTTATTAATTTTATGTATACGTTGTTGTTTTGTCTGCTTGTTGTGAACCGCCATGTGAGTACTGGGAATTGAACCTGGGTCCTCTAAAAGAGCAGCCAGTGCTCTTAAACCGCTGAGCCACCTCTCCAGCCCAAACATTAAAAAAATGTTAAACCTCAAATGTCCACATTCCAAACCAGAAAAGTATTTTAGATTCATCTTTTAGTTTTACAAAAATTATAAAATAATATAAAGAGAAATTAATGCAGAGATGAACAGAGAACTAAATGAAGGAGATTAATAAAAACAAGTGAGGGGCTTTTGGAAATTTTACGAAGATTTCTTTATTTTCAGCAAGACTGATCAATAAAAACGCAAATACAGTTGGAAGAGAAGAAAACTCTCACAGGGGGGTTAAGTATAACCTGGGAAAACTGCAACAGTAAGACCATTTCCTATGGAGATGTACTGACTTATACTGTACAGTGTACGAGCGCCCACCTCCCGCGGTTCTCTGCCCAGCAAAGTCTCTCTAGAAACAAAGAGATGGGATTCCAGGGAAGTGTATTCACTTAATCGTTTATTCAAAAACTATGCCTTTCTCCGATGCCTGCCACAGGGACAGGAGGGACTCCACAGTTGGAAGACCAGCGACGACAGGCTGGAGAGAGCCACTTGGGAGCCAAGGGAAGGATGTCATGGAGCAGCTTACTAGTGTCTTGACAGGGGTGGCAGAGACGTGGGACTCGCCTTTAAAGCCCACGGAAAGTGTCCATTACCTTTGACAATACGATGAAAACTAAAGACGCCAGATTTAAACTTTCACATAGACATGTGGGGGTGGCTGGCCCCCTCTGGTCCGCATCTCCGTCTCGCAGACCAACCCTGACCACCCAAGTAAAGCCTCAAGTAGCTGTTGGCACACAGTACTCAATTCGCCACCCCTGACAGCGCACTCGCCCTTTGTAAGACCTCTGGGTTAGGTGCTCTAACTTCGGGGTGCCTTTGATCATAGCCCTGCCAGGCCACTTAGCAACGTTTCCCTTCTGGAGACTTGCCCCAAACGAGACAGCTAGCGATTAGCAAAAGCTCGCTTCAAAGTCTGTAGAGTTCGTGCTCCGCCTAACCGACCTAAGGGAAGGCTGGAACCGACGAGGGCCCAGGTCACCGGCTGGGATGTCAGCAGAGCTCTACACCCAGGTTTAACCATGCTTCCTTCCTGCTTCTACGGCGACGCCCCACCTAATCTCACGCGTGACGCTCCTGCGCGTGGCTAGAGAACGGCCGCCTACGGAAGCCGCACTGCGAAGAACCCGGGGCGCCACGCGTCCCCGCCTCCCCAGGTCCGCGCCTCCGCTTCCGTACAACATGGCCGCGCACGCCCGGACACGCCTCTTTCCCTGACCCACTTCCTGTCCTGCGCAGTCATACTTGACCCTCGGACTCGCCCGCCCCTTCCTTTTCCTCTTCCGGGGACGGTGCTTAGAGGTATGGTGGCTTGCTTCTGCTCGGTGTTAGCCCTGTTTACAATCCGCAGCCATCCGAGGAGTCAGGCGGGCGGGACGTCTTGGGGGACGGTGCTGCGGCTTCGGTGAGGGTGAGGGGCGAGGAGAGGAGCGTGGCGGACGGGCGGCTCGTAGCTTCGGGAAGCCCTCGGTGTCGGCGGCGCTTCCGAAGCGGTGGGTAGCCGGAGCTCCGCGCGCCCCGGCCGCGGGACACGGAGAACGGGCGGCTCAGGTCGTGGTAGTGAAATCGCTCAGCAGCCGCGACAGCGGGGACCGCGGCCTCCGGCTGCCCCCGTGTTGACGGCCGTCCTGGTGGCGGATACGGGCGAGCCGTGGTAGCGGCGGCTTAGGGGTTTACAGCGGTCGTCTCTGGGCTTGGGCGCCCGGCGGGTGTGCGTCAGGCTAGGAAGACGGGTTAGGTTAGCTCGGCTGCACTTGGCTGGCCCATGCTCGTGCCCCTTGGGGCAGCTCACTTTCGGAGCGAGGTTGCGTGCTCCCGGTGTTGGGGAAGCCGGTGTGGAGAACGCTTCTCCAGCGTGGTCAGGGTCCGGGTCCTAACGCGTTGGAGGGTCGCTTGTGTGCTGTGCACGAGCCCGAAGAGGAGCCATCCAATGGGTGACTTCTCGGAGGTGCTGCTCTGGAACAAGACCTAGGTCCTCAACAGGTAGCGTGTGCGGCGCACCGTGGAGGGTGAGCTAGTTACCGCCCGATCCCAGTGGGTCCTAAGCTAGGGGGAGGCCAGCAGCTGGCTCTGTTGCCAGCAAATGGCATTGCTGAAGAGTCTCAAGGGTCTCCAGCTTTCCTGGTTAGTATTTTTGTGTACACCAAACAAAACCGACTCCTTGAGGAATGAGCCCAAGGTCAGGATTTTAACCAACTCCATCCATACTTGACCAGTAGGAAAGCGTTGCCTGTTAGTCGTCTCTAAATGTTTAGTTTTTAAGTGGAATTCTTTAGAGTGCATGAGTGTGTGTGAGGTGCGTGATTTGAAGTTTGGTTCACATTTACAGTGTAAAGTGATTTCTCTTTTGAATTTTAGGCGTTCAGAATGGTCCAGCGTCTGACATACCGACGTAGGCTTTCCTACAACACAGCCTCTAACAAAACTAGGCTGTAAGTATTTTTTTTCTTATAATTTAAAATAACCCATTGTCACCACCACTGTGATACTGAGCCGCTCACACCTTCCCTCTCTAGGTCTCGAACCCCTGGCAACAGGATCGTTTACCTTTATACCAAGAAGGTTGGGAAAGCACCTAAATCTGCATGCGGTGTGTGCCCAGGCAGACTTCGAGGGGTGAGTACCTTTGGGGAGTATTAATTCCTCGGTGGGGAAGTGACTGAGGAATTGCTAAGGTGTCTGGGATTTGTTAAATGTCCGGGGTCCACATCTTCCAAGGGCGTGGATCATTTTCTTTAATGACCAATGGGAGAAGTGACCGAAATGCTTCTCAGGTGAGGCAGTTGCTACTAGGAAGTGTCTGTGTCTACTTCAGCGTCTCAGGGTGACTGCTGTCCTTTCCTTATTCCTTATACAGGTTCGTGCTGTCAGACCCAAAGTCCTTATGAGACTGTCTAAGACAAAGAAGCATGTCAGCAGGGCCTACGGCGGCTCCATGTGTGCCAAGTGTGTCCGCGACAGGTGAGTGAGACGCCGAGACACTCGGTTTCCCGTGTGCTACGTGCCAGCCAGTAGTGAGTCTTCCTTGGCCGCTGGTGGGTGGCTGTGTATAAAACACTGATCCTCGTGTCAGAATTTTGGGAGGCATCTTTAAAGTAGCTTTGGTTTTGAGAGAAAGGACAGGAAATGGTGAATTAGTGTTTGCTAGTCGGCCCTGGGGAGGAGACAGTGTAGGATGTAGGAACAGGTGAAGTGCTGGGATTAAAGGTGTGCACCACCAGCGCCCAGCTCTGCCTCGTTTTCTTGATTGAGGATCCGTTTTCCCCTAGGAGTAGCACAGTCCCGTTTTATTTTATAGTTACCACAAAGCAGTCCAGACTACTTGGAATTAGAATTGCCATCCATAAAAATTGGTCACTATAATCTTACAAACTATGGGTCTTTGTACAATTTTCTTGTCTCTTGCTCTGCTTCGTCATCTAATGCTAATTTCCTGTGTTAAATGATAATTGGCATTTGTTTTTCTTCCTAGGATCAAGCGGGCTTTCCTTATCGAGGAGCAGAAAATTGTTGTGAAAGTGTTGAAGGCACAAGCACAGAGTCAGAAAGCGAAATAAATATGCAGCTTTTTAAATAAAGGTCAAGGCTTGGCCTGTGGTTCTGTTGTCTGATTTGTTTAGTGGTTAAGGACTAGTTTATAATTGGTTGCTCTCTCTAAAGAACAATAGCTGGACTGGACATCAGCTACTGGGTGCTTGGGTAGTTCCTCTGATTAGGAGTGCCTTGACTAGTCCTCTCTTAGTGCTACTTAGACCATTTCATAGTGTCTCCTTTGTACCACCAAACCAGAAGCCTTCAGCCTCCATAGAATGAAGTCTTTTAAGACTAGTTAAGCCAGGCGTTGGTGGTGCATGCCTTTAATCCCAGCACTTGGGAGGCAGAGGCAAGTGGATCTCTGTGAGTTCAAGGCCAGCCTGGTCTACAAAGTGAGTTCCAGGACAGCCTCCAAAGCTACAGAGAAACCCTGTGTCGAAAAAACAACAACAAAAAAACTAGTTAGATCTCTCTTTGAGTTCTGACATGGGGACTTCGGACAACTGCCTCTATAAAAACCCTGGATGATTCTCAGATTCCTGTTTTTGTTGGATTGATTTCAGGTTGGGACATTAAAATATGAATTATATTTTTAGGTTGATGCTGGTTTGAACAAGTTTATGAGGTTCTTTAGTGCTGAGAGCTAGTACAGGTCCAAGAACCATACAAATCCCATTTTCTAATGTATTTTGTGTTGCCTCTTGCCCCAGATTTAGCCATTCCCTCATTAGTTGATGGTGTAGCGTGGCTACAGAGGAGGTTTTTCATGCTTAGGTAAAAGGCAGAAATCTGCCACTGGGGAGATGACTTGTAGGCTGTCCTGTGCAGTTAGAGCAATTGCTCTTGCAGAGGACCTGGGTTCTATTTATATTGTTTACATTTGTACATATTTACATGTAGGTAAACATTCTTACACAAAAATATAGCTCAGGCTACCTTCCAACTTGGGTTTCTTGCTTGAACAGAACCTCCTCATATCCGGAACTAAGATTGTAGGTGTGTGCCCTTGTGCTTGGCTAGGCAGAGTTGATTGGCAGTTTGCAGAAAGTTAATGGGATCTGAGTAAGGGGCTAAGCTGACATTTGAGGATTGAGTTTAAGGTGAAGACACTTGGCTGTGTCTCCCTAACTGACAGGACCACTGTTTGCCCTGAAGCCTTCATTCTCACCATCTCAGATGGGGACATAGATGCTGTTGCTGGATTATTTGAAGATGGTGTCTTATTTGAAATGTAATGGCCTGGACATCCTTTGTACCAGCACTCAGGAGGGAATTGAGGACAGCCTCGGTTACATAGCAAGGCTGGCTTAAACGGTGGGAGAAGGCGGTTCTGGCCTTGAGGGTTCGTTACTGCCAATATTACAACTACATCAGATGCCCCAAGGACCACGGCTGAGATTTGAGGTGCTAGGACAGCACAGTTAACTTGTGTCAATATTTCAGGGTTTGAGAAGTGGCTCAGGAAATTCACGCATGGCCTGAATTAGAAGCCTCAGCACCTATAAAAGCCAGACAAGGTGTTCTGTATCCCCAGTTGTGGATGTGGAGGGAGGGCAGGTGTAACTAGTGGAGAAAGGTGCCAGAGGCTTGTGACAGCCAGTGTAGCCGATAGACTCCACATTCAGTGAATGACCCTGTCCCAGGATGGACAACAGCAGGGTTATACTCAGGGTGAAAGTGCACACGAGATCTTTTAAATGGAAATTAATCCAATAGACTTGGTCTCAGCTCTTCCCCTTGACTTCACCAACGTGCCTTGTGGTCCTATGGTATTGGCATTAGAATCTTAACACAGTTGGGCATTGGTGGCGCACGCCTTTAATCCCAGCACTTGGGAGGCAGAGGCAGGCGGATCTCTGTGAGTTCGAGGCCAGCCTGATCTACAAGAGCTAGTTCCAGGACAGCCTCCAAAGCCACAGAGAACCCTGTCTCCAAAAAAAAAAAAAAAAGGGCTAACTAGTTCCAGGACAGGCTCCAAAACAATACAGAGAAACCTTGTCTTGGAAAAAAAAAAAAAAAGAATCTTACCACAGCACTTCGTAATGTTCTAAATGCTTTAAACTTAATAACTTGTAAGCCAGGCGGCAGTGGCACACACCTTTAATCCCAGCACTCAGGAGGCAGAGGCAGGCAGATCTCTGAGTTCAAGACCAGCCTGGTCTACAAGAACTAGTTCCAGGACAGCCTCCAAAGTCACACAGAAATCCTGTCTTGAGAAACAAAACAAAAAAATTGATGACCTGCAGGCTACTTTTTAAAAAAACTGAGGCCCAAAGTTCATAAACACGAGAAGGGAAAGCCTCAGTTCGTGAGCTCTTACAAGTTCTTAATGTCCAGGCCCCACTAGTCCGTGTTAGGTAGAGCAACTTGACTAAACAGGCTTTGTAAAAGTGTTGGTGGGGGCTGGCTACGAACATGGATGTTTAGGTACCGTCAGAGGCCAGGAGCATTGCAGTTACCCAATGGTGGGTGCTGCCAATCAAACAGCAATACCAACAGCCTCGTGATCTGTCAAGTTCCAGCCAAGCAAATGTGTTAACAGCTTTGGCAAAGCTACTGTATTAAAACATTTTACAAGCCATTCACTTAACCTTTTCTAAGTTACAAGTACATATACTTGTCTTCAAAACGTCTTTGTAGACAGTTTGCAAAATGTGGAAAAAACTTTTGAAATGCATGTTAGTGTCTTGGTACGGTCATAATTTAAATAGCCTATTTTTTGAAAATTGAAGCTACTTGCAGTTTTCTCTTTTAAAACCTGAATATTCATACGTATTTAGCTTTCCCACTTGAAATGCCATACTTAGGATAATGTGGTGTAAATGTATCAACTATCCTAGTCACTCAAGTGGATTCTGTAACTGTTTTCTGAGCTTGGGGTTGGGAGGTGGGGTGGGAAATCAAGTTTTTATTGAATCCAGTTCCGTGTGACAAAGTAGTCTTGACAGGCCCCTAAAAGGACATGTGAATGTAGTCAGTGGTTTTCTTTTTAAAGTCTAGAATTTCTCCTTACATTGAATTGCTTATAAATTCCATCAGAAGGTCGAGGGGGTCTTTTGCCCTTAAAAGCAAGAATCTCCATATGGCTAAGCAAATCAAGTTTGTTTTCAGCAGCTAAATATTAATAACATACCATTTTTAGCCTAACAAAAGTGGCTACCTGCAAGTGTAGTTTCCCTTTTCAGCTGAGTCCCAGGCTGTGGACTAAGAGGGTACTTTGTTCCAAATGTTAGCTTTTCTCCAGGGTACACGACTTAGGCATTACTTTGTAATTAAGGGTGTCACCACTAGCTCATCTTGGCCTGTGAGAACAGTCCGTGTACACCTGAGCAGCACTGGAATGGCAGTGTGAGTATGTCGACCTAGACAGTGTCACGCTCCACAGCCCCTTTCCCTGGAGAGCTGGGTGGTGAACATGGCACACCTCATCATCCTGGGGGCTGTTACCACGGTTTACACAGGATCAAAGGCGTGCATGACCACGCCTGGCTAACTTTGAAAAATCCCAAATAAACTGTTGAATACAGTTCTGTGTGTGTAGACAGAGACAATAAAAGTCCCGGAGTTCCTTTTAAGCAGTGAAAATTCAGTGTGGTGTTCGTGTTGTAGGGAGTAGAAAAGTTCACCTCGTCTTCTTGAGGTTTATTTCTTACTTGGTTTGGGCTGCTGGAACAAGTTGCCATATACTGGGCTATTTAAACAACAAGCATCTAGTTGGTTAATGGCCATCTTTTTGCCTTGGCTGCTTCTGAAGTCACGATCTCATCACAAGGACTCAATCTTTATGATCCAGTTTCTCTCCAAAACCCCAGATGCTATGACCATCCCCTTGGAAGTCTAGTAACATACACAACTGAGGACACAGATACTTCAGCCTGTAATGCTTCCTGAGTTACGATTTACAATACTGAGTCAGAAAATGCTCTGGTCTTCCCAAATCCCACCTGCCAACCATAGCAGGCTTTCGGGTGTTATTCTGGTGAACATGAAGGATTATAAAAATAGTCCCTGCTTTGTAACTGGGTTTAGTGCTCTTCATTCATTCATTCATTCATTCATTCATTCATTCAGCTGACACTTAAAAACTGCTAAGAAGTGCTGTTGGGTAAATACTAGGACAGTAGCTAATAGACCATGTTAAATGTAGTCTCTCTCTCTCTCTCTCTCTCTCACACACACACACACACACACACACACACACACACACACACACACACGCACACACGCACACACACACAGGAATGAAGGAAAAGCCGTTATATGTAACTAAGAAAGGAGTTTAATGGACAGTTAAACTAGGCTCTTCAAAGGGAATGATTTGTAGGTTCAAGGTAAGGATAGGTGGCAACTAGCTAATTAGTCAGCAGAACATCCCAGACAAAGGAGCTGACTTAGGCGGATACCAGGAGTCAAGAAAGAGCTGCATAAAGATAGTTAAATTCAGTACAATGCTGTTCTCTCTGTGTTTACGGCCCCCAAACCTGAAATGTGTGGACATTCTCAGTAACTAAGAAGGAACATGCCTGTCACCACACAGATTTTAATAAAGGGTCACATCTGTAATGCTTCATCCATCGCTAAGGACATCAGTGAAAGAAAAGCTTTCTGTACTGCTCATTTCAGCGAGGACAAAAGCTCTCCTTTGTGTCAGGGAATATTGAAATTATAAAAAGCCCGAGGTAGTTTACACAGTGGCCTACTACGCTATAAGGAGGGAGAGGATCAAATGTATTGACTGAATTCCCCTGATACTCATCCCGCTCTGTATTCTTTGGTCTGTGCAAACAGCCTGAGGGCTCTACTCTCTTTACTCTCTTTAGGCTTGGAAATAAGCTTACAGCTTGACATGCCCAAAGAACAAATGGTCTTGAAAAGTCAGATATTTTCTGCACTTGAGTGTTAGTCATGCAAAGACTGTAGGGCATACGGTGTCTGTCACACTTTTCAACTCTTCCACTGTAGAGTGAAAGTAGCTGTAGACAATGAGTGGGCATAGCTGTATTCCAATAAATCTTTATTAACAAAAACGTGTCAGATGTGGCCCACAAGTCATAGGAGGAAAC